GAAAGAGAGACACATTAATTGGTTGCCTCCCGCACGACCCTGACTGGAACCCAGGTATGTCCCTTGACCAGGAATTGAACCCAAGACCCTTCAGTCCGCAGGCCAACGCTCTAACCACTGAGCCAAACCGACCAAGGCTATTTGTTTGTTTTGAAACTATTTATACAATATATTTATTATTTTTTGTGTTTTGGTTTTTTTTTTAATTTATTGGGGTGACATTGCTTAATAAAACTATATAGGTTTCAGCCCTGGCTGGTTTGGCTCAGCAGTTGGAGAGTTGGCCTGTGGACCAGAGAGTCCCGGGTTCGGTTCCCACTAGGGGCACATACAAAAAAAAACAAAAAAAATTATATAGGTTTCAGGTGTATACTTGTATAATATATCATCTGCATATTATATTTTAACTCAGTAGTACACTGAATTAATATTAACATTATTGACTAAATTAGAAGGGAATATCTCTCTCCATATACTTATGTTAAAAGTAAATATATTTAAATAAATAATATATATCCTTTAAAAAAAAATTTGTTGCATTAAAGAGAGGCTACCTGGTGTTCATAGTTCCTGAATAATTCTAGATGCATTAGTTCTCAAGGCCAAGTAATTTTGCACAGTTAGGCTAGAACATCAAATTACAAGTAAGTCGCCAGCAGCCCTGTCATGGGGACTCCCTGATTATTGACCATATGCCTTAGGACCTTATCACTTTACAGCCACCCACCCCCAAATATTTTAAGGCAGTAATCCAAGTAGCAAGTCATGGATTTGGTTGCTCAGCAGTTCAAAGATCTAAAACAACTCATAAATCAAAATTGACAAAAAAATATTTAGACTAGCTTAGACAGTAAAAATCTTGCCATCACATCATCCAACTCAGAGGCTGCCAAGCACTCGATACCCTTGATAAGACCTCACCTTGACACGCAAGGCTGCGAATAGCAAAGACGCTCATATTGTTGTCTTTGTACATCGCACTAGCCAACCTTATCAACAATTAGACCCTTCCAAAAATTAGACACCTCACTCAAAACACCTGTAACTTATATTTCTTTTTTATTTTTATTTTTTGGTACGTGCCCCTAGCAGGAACCGAACCCGGGACTCTCTGGTCCGCAGGCCGATGCTCCAACCGCTGAGCCAGACTGTCCAGGGCTTACCTCATATTCTTGAGAAGGTATTCAGAAGGAAAAAGAAGCTCAGACCCAGTCCAGTTGAAATTTGCCAGGTCCTCAAAATTGACTCAAATCATCACTTCGGCAACTTCTCTTTCTAGTGTTTGGAAGTGTCCATTGCATCCTTTCGGGCGTATTTCCTCTGGGGTTAGTGAGGAAAACCAACCCAAACCAAACCTAGACTCTGCCTTCAAGGAAGAAGTGGGGCTGCCACAGTGAACTCGGCCTTCTTATGTCCATTTTCTTGTTTAATGCTCACAACACCCCTATGATACAGGTATTACTATCCTCATTTTAAAGATTAAGAAATCGAGGCTTCAGTTAGCAAGTGCCAAAGCCAAGTTTCCAATTCCGGGAAGAGCAGCAGGAAAGATGCAGGGCTGGGAGGGCAACGGGGCTCCGGTGAAACTCTGTAGGAAAAGCCCTTTCTGGGCGATCAGGGACTTTGCAAATACTGTCGTAATGGCGGTGAGTACTGGGCATAGATGGGACAGCTGGTGGACAACATCCCCCGACAGTCGGAAATGAGAGGTGCCGAGAGAGCGACAACGGGGCATCTGACGCAGGCAGAAGGGAAAGTCAAGTGAGAGAAAGGCACCTGAGTGGTGGGAAGAGGACCAGGAGCACCCAGTAGCCCAGAAGCCAGGAGGGTCAAGCTTTAAGAAAGAGTTAATGCCGCCCATGGGCTTAATAGAAAAAGTCTGTGTGTTCTGTTTTTTGAAGTCACTGAATTTCTGAAAGTGGGAGACCACTGGAGGCCATCAAGAGAGATTGAGGGTAGATGACCGGCTGTAGGAGGTCAGAGTGTGGGTGATAAGGAAGTGAGGACAGCAGTGTGGATTCCCCTTTCAGAAAGTTTCTCAAGAAAGGGAAGAGGGAAATAGAAAGTAATGATAGTTTAGCAGATGTTCAGATCAAAAGCGGGAAAGGCTCCTAATATCCAGGAACTATGGGGGGAGAAAGGAGTGTGGATATAGGGCTTGAATACCATTCCCAGCTTCCTCTTCTACAGCCTGGGGGACTGTTTGCGTACAGAGAGATTTCTGTCATTGCTGCCACCCCTAACCAGAACACACATTCTCTTTTCCATTTCACCACGTTCCATGAGTTCTCCTGTCCAATGCCTCTCAGATTCATCTTCTGTCTTCTGCTCCTCCACCTGGAGCAGACCTCTCGCCTAGACCTTTGTATAATCCTGCTGTCCAGTTTTCCAAGCCTCCCACTGTCCTCAACGTGAATCTGAACCAGATTAACCTGTCATAAAAACACGTTGGCAAAATATGAAAAGCACCCTAAAATGCATTGGCTAAAGTCCAAAATTCCTGGCCAAAAATGGAAGAGATTACATCTGGAGTCTCCATGCTTCAAACCCAGCCTCTCTTTACACCCCTTCTATCGGACATGACAGTCCCGGGACTGTCCTAAGGCCTGTTGCACATTAGACTAATAAAAGAAGCTTTAAGTCCTGAGGCCCAAGCCCATTCCAGAGACTCTGATTCATTTGGTCTGCAGTGGGGTCCAACATGGGTGTATTTTAAATGCTCCCTCATCGATTTTTTTCTGCAACTCTTTATTGCTCTATGGAGCACTCATAAACCCAACTTTGAGCCTTTGCTCATGATGCTACTCATGCCTAAAGTGCCCTCCTTCTTTCTTTCCATGAATCTAAATATACCACATTTTCCAATAGCCTAATATAAGCCTGAGGGTTTCATTTAGGAAGTCTCCCCAGCCTACCCCAGCCAGTAATGACCTTACGCATCTCCAGGTCTGACAAAGCTTACAGACAGGAAAGCGCAATCCAGTCATAACTCAAAAAACAAACGCCAGGCCCTCACTTAGTTATTGGAGTTCCATACAAATGAGACACGGTCCCTGCCTTCGCTGAGTCTACCATCGAGGTCAGCTGTAGTTTGGGCGAGTGATTCACGCAAAGCAGAAAGAGCTGCACGAGGAAGGGGAGGGTGGCACAGGGGCCCAACAGCCGGAAACCCCTGGAGGGTCAGCAGGACACGGGATCTGGGTCTGTGTCCATGGGAAGATCATGAAGGGCCTTGTACACCTGCAGCCCTCAAACCTTTGTCTGAAGAAATGTCCTCTGAGGGTGTCCCTCCGCCTTTGACTTGACCCCATGGCTCACCTAGCCACCTGTCCAGTTCCAATCCACCTTCCCTAGGCTGTGACAGAGAGTTCTTCCCCAATGACAGAGGCAAATGTTTTTCCGAAGGAAGAAGGATCCCTCACTGCCAGATAGCAAGATTGTCACTTATAGTTATGTTTATCTTAAGGCAGATAACTCTGTTCCGGTGATATCTGCAGAACAGCAGGTGGCCCCTTGTCACCACCCACCCCCCAGGTAGCCCCGGGGGGCATCACACAACAACTAGGGCTTTAGAAAACCAATCTGAAAATCATTGCCACTGGCCATTGGGGGGTATTGAAGGTGTATGTTGCTCTATAATTATTTCATGTCTACAATAGGTTTATAAACCCTGCAGACAAGAAACCAACCTCTTGTTTCTTTGCATCTCTAGCTTGTCATTCAGGGCACAGAGTATAATACAGAAATAACACATGAGCTGGGGCAGAGGAAGCTATCCTCAGTCAGGAAGCATGGAAAACAGAATTTTCAAAGAGCTATTAATCATTTGGAGACGAACTTAAACATTTAGATGTTACACAAAGAACAGTGTGAAGTGACTTACAAGAACCTGCAAACGCAGTTGCCCTTGGAAAGTTAGGTTGGTGAAATTCATGCACAATGGATGAGGCTAGCTAATACACTAAAAGAAAGAGGGAAGCCCGGCCAGCGTGGCTCGGTGGTTGAGTGTCAACCTATGAACCAAGAGGTTGCTGGTTCAATTTCTGGTCGGAACACATGCCCAGGTTGTGGGCCAAATCCCCAGTGGGGGGCACGCAGGAGGCGGTCAATCGATGTTCTCTCTCATCAATGTTTTTATCTCTCTCTCCCTCTCTCTTCCTCTCTCTCTAGAAGCATAAAGAAAAAAAATTTTTTAAGAAAGAGGGAAGATGTCCTGCAGGTGTGTGCCCAAAGAGTGGGGAACACCGAAGCTACCTCTCAAGGTGAGAGGAAAGAAATACAACTGGATCCAGCAAGTGGACCACGAATCAGCTATTTTGTGCACTGCTTGGAGAGGGAGAAACAGAAAGAGGGTGAGTTCACGGAGAAAGGAAAAGCTCAGGGTTCACCCACCCCTTCCAGGAGAGAGACAATGAGATGGACAGAGCCTCGTCATGAAATGGGTGGAACCTCATGCGGCAAGGAGGCCTCCACATGTCTCACCAGGACCTGTGCCTGCAAACGCAACTGACACTGGGCTCTTTCAGCAAAAGGGGGTGGGATGAAGTTTGGTAGAAGGAGAATAGAAAAGCACGGAGGCCCAACCCAGGCGCTGGCAGACCAGGCTTGGACCAGATGAGACCCGGCCATTCCTGAAGGTCTTAGTCACAGAAGCTACTGCACAGCCTCACCCGGGTGCTGTCCCCAGTATAAACTTTAACCATTAGTCACACTCAAGGACGCAGTCCTGGGAGAGAGCCTACCATGGATCACGCTGAGGTCACATGCCTGCTTCCCAGCAGAGGGCTCCATGAGGAACCTTTCACCTTTAACAGGAGAATTTGTATTGGACCAACAAGTCCCAACGCCTAAACCTGATGGAGGAGAGAAAAATCCTAAGGCGGGAACTGGGATGCTGTTGGGAAGTGAAAATGGTCAGTGAGCAGTCAATATCTACAACATGGTCTGAGAAAATGTCCTCTGCGGCTGTCCCTCTGCCTTTGGCCGGACCCCATGCTCACCTGTCCAGTTCCAATCCACCTCCTCTGGGCTGGGGCTGAGGATTCTTCCCCAATGGCAGAGGCACGCTTCTCTCCAAAGGAAGAAAGATTCCTCACTGCAAGTTAGCAAGGCTACCAGTCACTGCTGATTATTTCAAGGCAGATGTCCTGAGTTGGGTGTTGTGATACGCATGGCCGAGTGCCCGCTGAGCTGGCTCCACCCAGCCACACACCCTTCCACGCTGCAGTGAAGTCCAGTCCCATGGTGCCCACGTGGGATCCAGAAATCTGACATGAGGTGGACTTTCTTTGCATATATTCTTTTTATTTCAACTTTTATCCACATGCAGTTAAAATCTATATACAAAATCTTCATAACACAATAAAGTGTGTCTTTTCCAATTATTCTTGGACCATCTGTTGCTACTTGAGTGACTTGTCCAGTGTCTGAAGGCGATTGCTCCCTATTACATCATTGACCATATTTGGACGGAATCGGTCCTGCAAATATGATGCTGTCAGAACTAAATGGACCCACGACAACAGGCCAGCCTGCTGCAGCCTCGGAACCGGCAGGCTGCTGTGATGCCATCTACCTTTTGGATCCTGGCTAGAGATGGAAGGCCTTTCAACAAGCACTTGTTTCAGTTTCCTTCTTTCTCACAGGAGGAAGCCCAGAGAGAGGAAGTGACTTGCTCAACATTACACAGCTTGGGGGTGGAAAAAAGAAAACAAACCTTGATCTCATTTGTCCTTTCCATTACATCATCACCCCATCTTGAACAATAAGAAATTGTATCAACTTTCCAGGTCTCCTAAAGTAACACGGGTGTTCTCGCTGTCTTCTCTGCCTTTCAGTTGAGGGCGAGAATGAAAGAACTCTGACTCTGTGGATTCGAATACCAGATGGGAGGCCTCACTCGGTGAAGTGAACTCTGAACTCCGAACTCAAGAAGCTCAAGGACTCTAGTGCCTAGAGAATTCAGATTTCTGGATATCAACTAAAAAGGAATGGATTGACAGGACTGTTACACACACACACACACACACACACACACACACACACTTGACTAAATTGTGTAGGAGTGAGTGAGCATGAGAGCGAGAGGGAGAGCAAGACATTTTCCACCTTAGTAAATGTCATCAAGGCCAAGCTCAGCCTCCGCAGTCAGGGCCCCCGGAGTTGCATTTCTGCTGTGTCACCTTAGGCAAGTTCCTTCACCTATTTAAAGGTCACTTTCAACTACACACCTACCTCACTCAGCATGCCGTTCTAAAATTTTAATTAGGTAATCTACAGAAAACATTTGGGACACTGCCTGGCCAGTGGCGAGCCCCCAAGTGGTCTTAATGTTATTAACATAGTAAAATCTTTGACATTTGCTCTTTTTCACGGGGCCCTGAGAACACCTCTTTTATATTTCAAGGCACAGCGTTGGTTCTCAAACTTGGCTTTTAAGAGTTTTAAGAAATACAGATGCCTGGGTCTTACTCCTGCAGATTCTGCTTCAACTGGTCTGGGGTGCACTCGGGGCACAGCTCCCGTTGCACAGAGCTCCTGGGGATCCTGTAGGCAGCAAAGCTTGACAAGCACTGATCTGCGGAACTGAACCTATAACCAGAGACCACGCAGGGCCAAGGGCCTTCACGCAGCCAAGCTTACAGCCACTGCATCCCCTTCTCCTCCGGCGGCACTGAGATCTCCCTGAGAAAGAACCTACAGCTGTGGACCCTGTTCTCAGCAATCTCAAGTTTCTCACTAAGACAATGAGAAGGCAAGAGATTAAGTTCAAGTTGAATTAATTCCAGACCTTACCCTGGCAGCTGATTTTTTTTTTTTTAAACCAAAATCCTTTACCATTTTCTCCTTTAAAAAAATTAAATTAAAAAACTCCCACTGGTCACTACTTTGTTTGCAATATAGAAAAAAAGGCTTTCATTTGTGTCTATCAAAGTTGTTTCTACCTGTCAACCAGGACTTGAATCTGGCTACATTTCAACAAGACACAAGAGAATCAGAGGAAGCTGTATTTGGTACCAGACTTTCTATGTAAGGCTGGGCAGGGCAGAGGGGATCGGGCATGTGACTGCCTTTTTCAGCTTATTTCACAAAAGACAGGGAAGGGGGTGCACCTTGGAGGGTCCCTGTGAGTCACTACTCGGAGCCTGCCCTTCCGCAGCCTGGTCTTTCAGGATCCCACAGCGTCTGGCCAGGCTGCTGCAGCTGCTCACGTGCCCGTTTGGGGAAGTGAGGCCTGGGAAGGCAGCGATGCAGGGCCAGTTTGCAGTGCATCAACGGAATTTTGCCCTGGGAGCCAGCCTTCCTCCTCTCAGAGGACTAGTCAGCCCGGCAAGTCCCTTCACAACCAGCCTTTCCAAAGAGGAACGCCTGGGGGTTGGCTCCAGCCCCTCAGCTTCCTCTTTCTCCCATCATTCCCCTGCAAGGCTGGCCCCAGGTCCCCGATCCCAGCAGCTCCCAAGTCCACGGTGGTGGGAGTGTTGAGGGTGAGAGGAACTGGGACTAGTGGCCTGCAGCCAGCAGAAAGCTCATTTCGATGAACTCAATAACTTTCCAAGAGTTTCATCTGGGGAAGGCCCAGTGGTTAGAGATTCCCATCAGGGCAGGTGTTCACGCAGGGCCACAGCAAGTCATAGAAGAGATTCTGGAACCAGACGGAGGTTAACCAGATGTTCTCAACGGCCCTGTCCCCACATCGATATACTTCTATGAATCCATAAGTTGGTTTCAGTTGTCCAGGACATTAGTAAGTCTGAGAAACTGTTTTTTTATTGTTTTAAATGTGTAAATATGAAACATTTTGATCATGCCAAGTAGGGAAAATAATAAACTATCCCTGGCTGGTTTGGCTCAGCAGTTGGAGTATCAGCCATTGACCAAAGAGTCGTAGGTTCGATTCCGGTCAAGGGCATGCACCTCAGTTGCAATTTGATCCCTGGCTGCTCTGATCAGAGTCATGCAGGAGGCATCTGATCAATGTGTCTCTCTCATATCAATGTTTCTCTCTCTCTCTCTCTCTCTCCCTCTCCCTCCCTCCCTCCCTCCTTCCCTCCCTCCTTCCCTTCTTCCCTCCCACTCTATCTGAAAATCAATGGAAAAATATCCTCGGGTGAGGATTAAAAAAAAAAAGAAAAGAATAAACTAGACCTTTATAAGCCCATCACCAACATTAAACATATTTTACCAGATTCACTTCAGACCTCTCTCCCTCTTTCTCTCTCCTTTTAAAGAAATAAAAACATCCAGTACAGTTTCATTTCTTCATCCTTTTCTCCTCCTTTCCTAAAAGGAACCATTAGTCTGAAATTGGCCTATATCATTCTCATGCATGTGTTTGTTTTTTGATAAATATGAATGTACTGATAAAAATGATACTGTTAACACGTTCATATAAATTGCATCTATGAGTTGTATATGTTTATGTAACACACATCTATCCTTTAACAGCTTGTTTTTTCACTCAACATTGCTTTAGAATTTGTACATGTTAATAAAAAGTTGATTTAGTACATTTATTTTACCTGCCGCATAGAAGAGAATTGAGTTCCATTAACATGGGTCATAACCAAACTTGTGGTCTATGTAATCAGCATTCTTTTATGTATATATGTACATATATATGTGTGTGTGCATGTATGCGTGTATATACATGTATATGTATATATGCAAACACAAATCTGTACACCTATAAGATTGTCTCTCCAGGCAGAATTGACATTTCACAGCAGAGCACATGTTTGACTTGGATTGTTATCGCCAGAGTGTCCTCCAAAGGGACTGTATCGATTTGCACTGCCACCAGAGTCCCTTATGGTGACATCTCACCATCCCTGTTGTCACCAGACAATTAATTTTTGCTAATCTGGTAGATGTGGAAGGTATTTCATAGTTTCAATTTGCATTTCCCTAATCATGGGGAACCAGTTATAGTTTTTGAGGCCAAGAATAGTCTAATCCCTCCCTTCCCACACACACTTGGTGGAGGCAGGGGGACGTGTGGGGGCTGGAGATGAGCCCAGATGGTGAGGTTCCCACCCAGGACTGAGCAGGGATTTCTCACTTCAGGGTCCAGTACACATGAGCATCAGAACAGAAGGCAGAATTCCAAAAGGACAGGCCAAGGAGTAGCTAGGAAAAGGGACCAGAGAAGGGACAGAGTCAGAGTCAGAGAGGCAGACAACAAAACACGTTGGAGTTGATATGAAAGGGTCCAAGTCACTTCCTGAGAACAAGGGCAGGTGTTTGCAGCTGGCAGCTGGAGAGAGAGCAAGACTGGGGTGGGGACAGCTGAACAGAAAGGAAAGGGGAGCAATGTGCACCCAGGCCCAGTAGCCCAGCCTGCCACCATCACGCCCTGGGCCGCCAGTGGTCTCCGCTGCAAGCCCAGAGAGTCCTGATTTCCTCTGTGCACGTCCTTCTACATGAAACCTCCCGGGTCAGGCCGTAGAGTGTGGGCCACACTGGAGTTTGAGGGTTTGGTGTTTTCACTTGTTTGGAACAAACAACAACGAAAGCACTGCGATGGGTAAGTGACTTATTTTTGGCAAACTATTTCTCCTTCTAGTGGCTTCTTTTCAAAACAGGTTTTGGAAACATTTAACAGTCCTTCCCACAGCACTGCTTCTCAGGGAAGTTAAACGAAGCCAGATTGACAGACTGACTTCAAGGCATGTGTGCCAAAATGTGTCTCCTATATTGAAGACGCTGGAGCTTTCTGGGAATAACTCATTTCCTTGGGGGCACTGGAGGGTGTGGGAATCCCATATATCTCCATGTTCTGTAACCAGGCAAAACTCGGAGGAGCAGTCATCTATCAACAAACGTGACAGATATGATTCTTCTTAATGGGGACAGGAAACCACTCTAACCTCAATGGGTCCACAGTTTCAAAGCCAACTTTCCCTTCGGCTCGCTTTTCTTCAAGTACGGCCAAACGCGGGGACCGCGGCCAAGGAAGCGTCCAGAGGGACAGGCAGAGGGTAGTGTGTCGTGGCTGCCCCGTGGCATCTCAGGGCTGAGAAACCAGAACCCTAATACCTCCTCTCCCTTATTTGACACTGTGGGAGCGTAAAGTCGGATGAAGTCCTCGATCCAAAATGAATAGGATTGAACAAAACGCTGGAAACACCAAGTGTCTGGAATGATTCTGTAAACTGGAGATGAGCAAGGGTCAGTCCTCACTATTCTGACCTATTTAAGGTCAAATATGACTAAAATACACTATATTTCTGATAACTTGTGAATAACAAGGCCATGCAATATTGGTCACTTCTAATATCTCTTGGCCTTGAAATCTACCATAGAATATCTACATCTTCGAAGTAAATTTTAGAGCCCAGTTACTCACACATTTAACACACATACACAAGATAGCGCTGTATTTACATAAGAACACAAGCCCGGTCAGTGTGGCTCAGTGGCTGAGCGTCGACCCATGCACCAAGAGGTCACCGTTTCAATTCCCAGTCAGGGCACATGCCCAGGTTGTGGGCCCGGTCCCCAGTGCGGGGCATGCAGGAGGCAGTCAGTTGATGTTCTCTCTCATTGATGTTCCTATCTCTCTCTCCCTCTTTCTTTCTCTCTCTCTAAAAAATTAATAAGGAAAAAGAAAAAAGAACATGAGGCATGCCCTCTGGGATACCCAAATGCCACAGAGCCATTCCATCCGAGACTCTCGGCTGAGCACCTGCTGGATAGGAGTTGACGGGAAGAGGCCATGACTAAGCTGGAGTCAGCAAGTAAGCAGTTGACCAGCCGTCACAGATGGTTCTAAGAGAAGAACTCCTGACAGAGGTGTGGGCAATTGGAGGGAACAGACCGAGAATGTCGAGGCACCCAGGGACCAACCACCAGTAGGAAACCATAACCATATGAAAGGCCGAAGGGAAGGAAGAAATAGTGTTACTAGAGCCCGGTAGGACCTGGAAACTTGAAGGATGGCTGCCCAGTGGGAACTGTAGCGATGGAAGGATGCAGCCACTGCCTGAGACTTAGAACAGAGAAATAAGCCAACCTCTTTCCGCCCTTGGATCTCTTATTGTGTTCTCCTATTTGCTAAACCAACTGGAAGCCAGCTGGTAAGGAACCTGGGTGATGCAGCCCTCAGGAGCCAGCCACTCTGGGCACAGAGTGGGGCAGAGAAGAGAGGAGACCAGCTCAGGGGCTGGGGGAGGCGGGGTGCCAGTGGAGAACAGCTCAGTGGCTCTCCTTCCATCCCATGGTGTCTCCTTTGAAACAACTGCATCCCTCAGTCAGAAGGCACCTGCAGAAAACTCAGCACAAATCCTCTCTTGATTTCTGTTTTTTTAATTCTCACCTGAGGACATTCTTCCATTTATTTTTGGATAGAGTGGGAGAGGGAGAAAGAAGGAGGAAAAAGAGAGAGAGAGAGAGACGTGAAAGAGACACATCAACTGGTTGCCTCCCACATGACCCTGACCAGGGCCGGGGACGAACCTCAACTGAGGTACATGCCCTTGACCGGAATCGAACCTACGACTCTTTGGTCCACGGGCTGACAATCTAAATGAAGAGCCAAACCAGCCAGGGCCTCTCTTGATTTCTTGATCAAACAATTCACAAATCCTGATCTTGGGTCACTCTCCACATTTCTTAGCATCAAGACAGTCCAATTCAGAGTCATTTAACTAAGCAGCTAACCAAACAGGAATTTCTCTCATGATTTGAATATGGTCATAGCCAGTTATGTGGGTAAAGATCCATACTAGGCTCATATAACAAATTCTACTTCTTCAAACTAACGTATTACTGGTTTTCAGCAGAGAGACAAGCTCACTATACATTCTCTATAGAAACAGCCTCAGGCAAGCCCCAGGCAGGAGAGCCCGGTTACCAGTGACTAGGATAATGGCAGCACTTACTTAGCCCTTACCACGTGCCATGCACTGGTCTACAGGTTTGGGGCATATGCTGGGGAGTCCCGTTTGCCAAGGCACAGGATCAGGGGGGTAGGAGAGAAGTAGGGGACCATTCCTGCTCCCCCTCCTGTTCTGGTAGGAGCTGCGTGCTTCTTCTCATGCTCACAGCTCTTGCCTAGGGGCCCTTCTGCCAGGCTCCAGTTCTTGGGTTTGAGGAAACACCTCTCTGCTTGCCCTTCTGGGCCCAGAGTGCTAACTGCTTCCCCTGGGTGCTTCTCCAGCCCTTGTTTGTCCTCCACCCCACCCAGGACTCTATCAATTGTGTATTTGTTCAAGTCTCCTTCCTTATCCCTTTGAATGCTCCATCTACCTCCCAGTGGGTCCTGGCTGGTACTCTGTATGTGAACCCACTAATGATGCTGCAGCTCCCAGACTGAGAGGGTCCCCTTCACAAGGGCACTGTGGGAACTAGTACTGGCAGGGAGGGTCCAGCCTTTTCTTGAGACATAGAAACCTAGAATCGGCATCTGTCCTCAACAAAGACAGTTTGATTTCATCTACCTGCTTCCTCCTTTCATGAGGAGTAAGTCAAGCAGTTTATAGTGAACCCAGACACCGCTTGAGAAATCAGTTGCTATCTTGAGAAAGTCCTTGACATTCGGAGAAAAACACTAGCTTTGGCAGCAGCCTTCTGATCATTCAGACCCCCGCTCTGCCACCTATCTGCCAACCGATACAGAGCAATCACCTCTCTGGTTCGCAACGTCTTAGTCTAGTAAATGAGATCACAAATATCTACTTTACAGGATTATTGAAAGGTAACAAACGTTAAATATCTGGTACAGAATATTCCTTTGATGAATCTAAATTCTCTTCTCCTTTACTTTAAGGATTCTACTGTTTTGTCTTGGATTTTGTCCTAACTTCATGGCATTTGGGCCTGAGAATCGTTCTCCTATCTCCCTCCTTCACATGAGGAGTTCACTTTACCTCCCATCTGGAATCCATAGTCCCAGAGGATTTACTCCTGGACTGGGTGGGAGGCTGGCTTTCTTGATGAGACCTGAAATTCTGGGTACAGGCAATTTTCCCTCTGATGTAATGCTGCTTGCATGCACACATGTGAACACACACACACACACACACGTGTGTACATGGGCATATACACTGAAATCCGATCCAGAACAAGCTCATTCCCACTTATGAGTCATGCTTCCATTCAGATACTATTAATTGGTCCCTGGAGAGCATTACAGGGGATAAAATGGCAGGGATAACAAATGGGGAATGAGAGTTAGAACTTCTTTGTAAATACTGGTCACTCAGGGCTCAGGGAGCTCATGTCGGGCTTGGTTAGTATAGTAGTATTTCTTCTAAGGCAATTCCGGGTCGAGCTCAGCCCTTTGTGGCAAGTGCAGGAGCGTTTCCAGTTAGTTCAGTCATGACTGTAGGAGGGAAAGAGTTCATGATTCCTTCCTCTTCTGGTGCTTATACCTGAAATGACAAGGCCCACAAACTCCGATTTGGACTTATCCAACAAGCCGTTAGCAGCCTGTATAAGGCAGGAATAGATTTCAAGCGGTGGTTCTCAAACTTCCATGTGTACTGGAGTCACATGCCCAGAAGAATCATAATCACATGTCCTAGTCAATGATGTCACAATCACCCTTGAATTCTTAAGAAGTTCCCCCAATGATTCTGATGAATACAAAACACTGACAACAAATGATATGAAGGGACTGGAAGAGCTTGTCACATCCCCTCAGGCCACCTGCCAAATGATTTAGGGGAGGCAGACCCCATCACTGGTGAACACAAGCATGCAAGACGAGGTGCTTAAGAAATAACAGCAAGGATGACCCCAAAGGCACTTCTATCTGGCTTTCAAAAGGGGCTTCTCTCTGATTTATTTTTTGCAAAAGAGCCACTAGACACATACAGTACAAACTTCCCACACATAAAATTGCTGGTGGACAACTGAAGTACATCGCTGGGGAAGGGGGGAGGGGTGGCGATATAGATAACAAAGTGGCTCCATTAGGAGAGCAAGGGGGAGTATTCTGGGTGGAGCAGAGGATGCTGCGTGGACAAGCACAGATGTCAGAGCTGAGCTGGCCGGCTCCAGACTGCAGAAATTCTCATCCCACCTTCGCCGGACGGCGTCGCCTCCATCGCCAGCCGTGCACTTGCAGCGAGGTAGCCACAAGCCACAGGCAGCCTCCGAGCCCTTGAACCGTGGCACGGTTAGACTGAGAGGTGACGAAAGTATAAAACACATACCAGAGTTTGAAGATTTATCATTTCAAGAAAGAATGTAAACATAAAATTAAAGTGCCTATTATTAAAACTACTTTCACCTATTTCTTTTCCATGACTAATGTCACATTTTGGCTTATATATATATGGTCCACACCTTTGGCTCCCATTGTGGTTCTAGCGGACAGTGCTAACCTATACTATTATTTACCTGATTTTTTTCTTTCCATTTGACTCACCTTTGTCACTGAAATAAACTCAACCTTCTCCCAGGCAATAATGACAGTGAAATCACAAGTCTGATATGCCAGTTAAAGTTTTTCTAACAAGCATTAAGATAAATACATAAAGTAGCTTGTCCACACACTACCTAAATTCAGCTTGTGTTTTGCCAGTTGTACAAAATCACATTTTGGGAAACACGAATCCAGTTCGAACCCTTTGACACCCACAGAGAGAGAAAATGACCGGTCCACAGTCACTAATGCGATCCAAGGCAGAGGCAGCCCAGTGCTGTTCAGTAAGCTCTGCAGGTGGTGGGATTGGGGTAACTCAGGACACCCACACAAACAAGCTCCCACATCACGCAAGGCCTGAGCTGGAGACTGCATGACCATCAGCACGGAGGGAGTGGCATCTGGTCACGCTCTCTGGGTTTCGCTCTGCCCTGGCATTTTGCAGTCACTTTCTTTTCTTAAAGAGCCAGTACGAAATGCAGCTTGTGCCTTTGCGTAATTGTGGAGGCTGGCGGTGCCCTTCAACAACCCCTAACAACCCAGCTGACTGCCAGCCACCCCGAGCCTCTCTCTTCACCCCTCTACCCACCACCCCTTTTCCCAGGTGGTAGTTGCCACTGCCCACAATCCCAGGCCCCTCTGGGTTACAGCCTGGCTCTAACTGCCCTTCTCCCAGCTGCCCTGTCTGACCTCAGAGGAGGATCAAGGGACAGCAGCCCTTCTGGGGGTCACTTGCAAGCCCATTGCCTTGGCAAGAGGTAGGGACGCCCCGTGACGTGGAGGAGCCAGCGCACCTGCTCTTGTCCTAACGTTTATATCTCACCTTCAGCCAAAGGCAGTTAGTCATTCTGGTGAGGGTCCAGCCTGTGGGTCCAGCCTGTGGGTCTGAGAGTCCTGCCGTTTCTATCCAGAATCCTTCAGCTGGTAACGTTCCTCCTGAGGAGGAGATTTTGGATGAGTTCCGGCAGCCAATACTCAACTCAGGCCCAAAGTAAGGGGACTCTGGCTTCACCTCAGAGGAGCCTTCTAGAACATTCTGGGCCCTTTAAACAGGCCACACAGGAGATCCAAAAGGACGTCCTCACAGACATCAGTGTATCGGGGCAGCTTTCCTTCCCTCCGTCGGCAGCCCTCCTCTCGCCCCCCAGCGTCCAGACCCCCGAAGTTCACGTCTGCTCTTGGCTTCCCATCGCACAGCCTGCTCGCATTCCTCTTTCCACCCAACCTGATTTTAGCTGTCAACTTGTGGCCCAGATTTAGAGCTCCCCATGGCCCAGACGACCTGGTCCCAGCCCTAGACGCGGCCTGAGGAGAGCCCAGCCATCAGACCAGACCCTGCCGTCCCCGCAGGACAGGAGGAAGCCCGCACAGGGCTCAGCACGCGCCCCTCTGAAAAGCTGGGTGGCTTGTCACAAGGCCGGCAGGACCGCCCGTCCCTCATCAGACCCACTGAACAGCAAGGGGGGGACCCAGCCTCCGTCTCCTCGTCGTGATGTGTGCACCAGGCTGTTCTGGGCCAAGCAGTCGAAAGGCGGCTGCAGTGAGGGGACACCAGCAGGGAATCCGGCTGCTGGGCGCTGCCACACAAATGCTGAGGATGCTGCTCATCGTTCAGCAATGACTACTCGCCAGGCCCACGCCCAGCAGGGATCAGCTCGTGTCCTCTTCACCGCCGCCTGCGGAAGCACGTTCAGAGAGAGTGAGTAGCTTGCCCACGGTCACAGCTTCGAGGGGGCAGGCCAGCCAGGGTCCATAACCCGCCCCGTGCACTGCCTCTGCCACGCTCCCCGTGAGCAGGGCAGAGGGAGGCAGGCGGCCGGGGGAGGGCTGCCCGTATTCAAAGCAGCTGCCCAGGCTCCCTCAAGGACAAACACGGGGGTGGGGTGTGTGGACTAGCACAATGGACTATTGGCCCAGGTGGCTTCTTCTCATTTGTCCCTCTTATCACCACAGTCCCACACTCAGCAGAGCCCCATCAAGGTCGCCTGCCCCATGCTTGTCCCCAAGGGTCTGTGACAGGCTTTCAGGATCTGTGCGGTTGACAGCTTGAATTTGACAAGATCTGTGCTGAAAACAGAGCCCCATAGCTGACCCCCAGGGGGCCCAGTGATGGATGGGCCTCTCTCCGAGGGCCCCAGGGGGGCTGGCTGGGAGGACTGAGGGCTCCGGGCCTCACTCGAGCTGCCGGGAGGTCAACTGCTGTTCTAATGACTACCCTTTGCCAGCCTCCCACTTGCTGCAAAGCTCAGCCCGGGCCTATTTCTCTCTTTAGCAAACTCCACGCTTCCCAGAGGGTTAGGCACACTCCAGTCCCAGCACTCTCCTTTGTCCCAGCAGGATCACACATTCTCCCCAGGGGCCGGCCTGGATGGAGGCCTGCTGGACAGCAGAGCGGAGACAGCCTCTTGTGTCAGCTCGGTGAGCTCCCATCTGCCTCCCAGACACACACACAGCATCGTGGAAAGTGAGCTGATGGGCTCATCACACACCTGAAGGGGATCAGGAATGCATTCCTTCATTCTTCCTTTCATTCACCCACAGATATTTACTGGGTCCCTACTAAACAGCAGGCCCTGCTGAACTCGGCCACAGCAGCGAGGAAAACAGACATTGTCCCCGTCCCCAGGGGCAGACCAGTTGGCAGGGGTTTTAGATACAAGGGTCCCGGGAAGCAGTAAGCACTGCAGGACTGTTGGAGGCCTTGAGCCTGAATACAAAGAATGAGAGAGGAGACAGGGCAACATTCCCTCCAGCAGCCCTGTCTGGGATTCTGTGCCTTCTCAGGGCATTTGCTACACCATGAATCTCCAGACCCGAGGTTCTCAAAACCGGCTGTGCCTCAGAGTCGTGCTGAGAGCATCTTCACGCACAGATTCCTGCACACCTGCTCCTAGTGACTCTGCCTCTGTAGGTCTCAGGTGGGGGCTAGGTATGGGTATTTGTAAAAGCTGTTCTAGGTGATTCTAAGGCAAATCCACATTTGAGAAACCCTACCCATAATTGTGAGTTCCTTATTTATTTCATACCTGTAGGCCCTAGATCAGTGGGGGGATAAATAGGGGAATGAATGGATTCATAAATCAATAAATGAGTGAACGAAAGCATGTTTGTTCAGAAGCTTGGCTGTGGTCAGCAGTAGAGGCCCAGACCTGGAGGCCAGGGGAATCGGTGTGGCTTGGAATCTGAGTGAGTTAGTACCACAGCGTGTGCAGGATGGGGCAGGATGGGGGCAGCATGGGAAACCCACGCCAGGCCCTGGACCTAGGCCATCCTGCCAGTGAGATAAGCTCAGAGTATACAGAGTGCCGATGACTCAGGGGGACGCGGAGTCCACAGGCCACAGACACGGTTGTGACATCTCAGCAGCCCATCTGTGCCAGGTAATACAGAAATGGAGGCAGGCAGACAGCGTGGGGTGGTCCTGGACCCTGAAACCCCACTGTCATCATCTGACCATCATCAGTGACTAATTTACACACTCTGGTGAATGTCTGCCACAGGCTAGGCAAGCCGCTAGCCTGAGAAAGCAGGGTCTGAGCCAGCTCTAGCCCAAGGATGCCTGAGGCTGGTGGGAGAAAACAAACATGGAAAGAAGCAGAGGTGATGGGGCAGGAAGCCTGTGGGGATCCTGGCTGAGGGCACAGCCACACACCCAGAGAAGAATGAATCCTAGGGATGCCAAAAGAGAAAGTATCCCTGGGGATGGGGCTCAGATGAAAAGCTATGTGGTAGGATCAAGTTTCCACCACTTACTAGCTGTGCGACCTCAGACAAGTTACTTAGCCTCTCTGAGCATCAGTTTCCTTATACATATACCAGAAATAATAATACTACCTCACAAGATTGTTGTGTTGACAAAATGAGAAATCAAGCGTGAAAACACTAAGCACACAGTAGCTATTTAATAAAAGGTAATAAGGATGGCCATTCACTAAGCCCATTTCATACAAGTCTCATAAATTCAACACAATCTGAGGGAGCTGCTCTTAGGTCCAGCTTTCAGAGGAGGAAACAAACTCAGAGTGAACCTCACACAGCAGATCAGTGGGGAAATCAGAACACGAACCCAGGCCCGTTGCATTCCAGAGGCGCCACTGTAATACCAAACTACATACAAGTACGTTTTTGAAAGGAAAGGCATTTGAATATTATAGCATCTATGATTCTCATAATCAAACATGGCAGTTATTGGAATTTCACACAGGATCAGAAAGATCGAACTGTATTTATCTACTGGACTGTAAATATCTACTGTATTTATCTAGCAGAATGCTAATGACAGCTTTCTCATAGTGAGGACTCTAGGCACCAGGCATTATACACAGCACTCAGAAATCCATACAAAACACTTGCTTCATGAACCAAGTGGGACTTACAGGGATTAAGTGCCCAGCCTGAGGTCATTCGGGAAGAATGGCTGAGCCTCGATTTGAACCCAAAGCTTTGAGTCCTTCTGCCCTTCACCACTCTGCTGTGCTATCGAGTCCCACCAGAGAGCACTCAGCAGAACCTCCAGAAAGCAAGATTTCATAGACACATGAGGTATTTCTCAGGTGACCCCCTCACTGGGGCTGGGATCAGACCTGGGGTCAGGGTAGGGGGAGAAGGAAGAAGCAAAGGGGATACAGAGGCAGAGTCCAGCCCGGGAGAGCTGCTGCCCTCCTTACAGGCACCAAGGAAACCCCCAAAGCCCTGGTTGACTTCTGTCACAGCTGTAGGGACAGGTGGAAGCAGAATTAGGGAGACAGAAAGCTCTAGTTCCACCCCAGGTGTCTGCCTGTCCCCTTCCAGTGGTATTGATCATTTTGCGATGGCCCCATCTGCTTTGGACGGCCTCCCTGGCAACTTCAGTCTCGTCAGTCTTTGTGTTTCCCGGTGAAAGGCTGTTGCAAACCCACCCTGAACTTGGAAGCTCACTGCCGTTGGATGGGTCCCTTCCCTCTGCTCTGCTCTCCCCTCCACCAGTGACGCCTGCCTTCCTGACCCGTGTGGTGGCTCCAGGGAAGAAATGAGGTCATGTAAACATTACACAGAAAGCAGGGTTGTTTGGGTTTGGGATTTTGCTGGTTTTTTCTTGTTTTCAGTCATGACACTTAGCAGTATCGCGTCTTGGTTTTCACTGAGGAATACGAAGGGCAGAGTTCATCAGGTTGCCAAGCACACATCTCACACATGCAGAACTACACAGATGGACAGACTTCTGTCCGGCCCTCCATCGTCACCCAGAGAGAAGGCAGGGAAGGCAGGAGTCAGAGGCAGGAGGCAGCTTTCGTCCCTTTTGCGCAAATATTGGCAGAGCCAGACATTCTCCCAGCCCCAGGGGACCCCCAGGTAAGGTAGACATTCTCCCAGCCCCAGGGGACCCCCAGGTAAGGTAGAGCGAGGGAGGATTTGGCCTCCATTCCTTCTACTGGGCAGCCCCGCTTCTAGGAATTGAGCCTCGTGCAGTCCAGCCTCGGCCTCAGGCTGTCCCGGGGCTTCGCTCGGCCTGTCCAGCTGTTCCAGCTGTTCCCTCGCTCAGTGCGGGCTTCACGCAGAAAGGGCAGAATGTCAGGCCTCCAGTGCTTGTTCCATGTTTCTATAGACTTTTCCCCAACCCCCAAAAGCTGCCATTGCCTTCAGGGCAGAGCAAATACCCTCTCTCCACATTATCTTAGGAAATTCCCCGAATCCATGCCTCTATTTCGACCAAACAAGAAATAAGGTAAGCTTGGTACCTCTCAGACAGACAGTGCGCCGCCCCGGGGGCCAGAGAGCTGTGACCGTTAGACCATGATATTCCAGTTCTTGATACAAGGCCATTCTGTGGAAGGGACGAAGTGAAAATTTTAGTAACTGAAACATTTATCTTTGGCAAAAACAAGCAAATCTGAACTTAGTAGCTTTGTTGCTGGTCTGAGTCCTTTCATCAGAGGTAACCCCTTTGAAGTGGGGAGAAAATGGGAGGCCAGTGAACCCCAGGATGGGGAAAGGAGGCAGAAAGAGGAACCAGGAGGGGTCTACCCTGTCACGCCTGAGGCAGCCTCATTCTGAGAGCTGAACCCCTGGGGCCGGGGAGCTCTATCTCATTCAGGGAGACAGACCCACTGCTGAACGTCTGGGGGCAGGGCGGTCACACCCCCCCCCCCACACACACACACACACACACCCCCCGCCACCATGTACACACAAGGGCAAGAAAGTCCCAGTGTCTGAAAAACAAAAAGTCATAAATAGGGAAGTCTCTGAGCTGAGAAAACCAACAGACACCTGACGGCTTTCCTTACGCAAATCTCCGTTAGCACATCAAAACAAGTGACCAAAGCCAGCACCTCGTGGAGAAGTCGACCTCTGGTTTCTATAGTCGGATGACTCTAGTCAGACTTCAAAAACAGGAAGTGCCAGATGTAATATCAAATGACCCAGACGGTGAAAAGCAAGGCAGAAAACTAAATTGGAAGACAGGAAGTCACAATCACACCACAAACAATACAGATATTTGTCTGAGACGTGCTTGGCCTGCGCCCTATCATGGCCAGAAACCGGAGGAGCCCAGCCAAGACCGAGGTATTTATCCGAGGCAAGGCCACTGGAAATGGGCAAACGGAGAGCCCTCCCGAGAAACCTCATCTCTGCAGTTGAGCAAAACTTCAGAGGTTACATTTCTGGGTTGAAAGTGCAACTTGCTGGCTGAGGGCCAGATACTATTACTAAGCCCTGGGACTTGGATCCCAAAATAAAAGCATGGCCTCTCCCAGACCCCTCCTCGCTCAAGGGAAAAGTAATGGGCATCTATGTGTCCGGCCCCTCTACTTCCCCTCCAGGTAACAGCAGCGCATTCCTGTCCGCCCCGCCTCCCAGCTCCGTCTCCCCTGAGCTGGTTCGAGCCCCACGATGCTGGCGCACTGTGGACCCCTGACCACACTGACTGACCCTCTTTGGACCCATGCACATGAGCCCTGGGCTGCTGCTGGAACGAGTACGAAGGAGCAGCTCTTTGTCCAGTGGAATTACTAATCTGATAAGATAAAATCTTACCGCTGCCAGAAGCCACTAGGTGAGCAGAACCTGCAGGAGAATTAAAGCCAGCACAGTAAAAGGAGAGGGAGTCCTTCTTTCCTCCCTCGGAGGGTCTCTCTCCCTGCAAGGAGGGCCGTGTGGGGCAAGGAGGAGGACACAGGAGGGCAGTTTCTCAGGCCGGGCTTCGAAGCTCACCATAGACACTCAGTCCATCTCCGGAAAGGATTAGCCAGCATGTATGGGAAGGACCTGGAACCTGGGAGGCAGCTCATATTAAGGCTGTGCCCTGAGTAAAACAGTGATGGGCACAGGGCTCTGATGGTACCTTCCTTCTTCTCTTTTAGGCCCCTCTTCCACACCTTCTTCCCTGGGACCCACACACCAGATAACAGCCCCAGACCACAGCCCATCGGAACCACCATGGTCGGTCTGGTCAGCCCACACACGTAGACCCAGCAGTTCCTGATGCTGCCAAGCACCCTGAAAGGGCCTTGGTGCTGAACGCCTTCACTCCCCTCACCTCAATCTCACACAACCCACTGGTCCAGCTGGAGCATGGTGAAGACCTACTGACAAAAGACAATAGGGCTGAATCAAGCCTCCATGTGCACCTGACTCACCATGAGTCATATCCCCAAGGACCTTCTCAGCTCACCATTGTTGTCAATTAAAATGAGTCACGTATGTCTGGCACATGTGAATGTCAGAGGGGCAGCCGAGCTTGGGGATGTTGCCCTTTGGCTTGGAATATCATTCTCCACTAAGAAGTCTATTGATGATGGCATGAAAACAGTATCCCTCCCAAAAGTACTTAACATTTAAATGAGGATCATTTAAGACACAGCATCCAAAAGAATAAACAAATGTTCTAAAGAGTGTGAGAGATTTGATTTGATTTATCAGTCCTCTTTGAGAGATTCTGGTCATTCCTAATCTTCTTCAAGGACAGGTCGTAAGTTTGGCTGAGAAGTCCTGATCTCTTCAAAGCTTTCACTACTGTCTTCTTCATGGTAGACACTGGCCACCGTCACTCCTACACCTTGCTTTCCCCAGGACAAGCTCTAGCTGATAACTGGTAAATACTAACGGAAGAGATGTAATTAGACATCGTTGGTATCTATGTGTGTCTCTTGCAGTATAAGATAAACAAACTAATCTTCCTCACCAAGCGTAGGGGGATAATGAACAAAAATTAGAGTTGAGTAACCTGCCAATGTAAATATTTCACAAATGCTAAGTGATGGTAAATAGAGCCCAAATGTGAGACCGGAGTGGGACTTTCCAACACAGATCTGCCCGAAGGATGCTCAAGCTCACCCTTAATGAAATAATTTTCTAGTTGTTTTTAATATTTGGCTTTTCAACATGAATTTGCATATAATACTATTTATTAGGCTCCCAAGCAATGTGCCAGGCATTGTGTTAAATATTTTACATGAATTATTTCCTGTATCCTCAGAGCAATTCTATGAGATGGGCTATCATTATCCCCATTTTGCAAACAGGGGAGTCTCAAACAGGTAACACAGTACTGAACTGGAAATCAAACTCAGAGTGCATCGCCCAGAGCCCATGCTCATAACCGTTTGTATGCCGCATCCCACACTGTGGGAAGAATGCGTGGCTCCGGGCAGTTACATTGCGTCACCTCCTCCTCTGAGAGCCACACAATGGCTCTCCACACCTCCCAGTTCAAGGCATATCCTTTCTCCCAGACTCGCAGCCCTTCCAGTTCCGACCCCTCCCCAGCTCTCCATTCTAATCTCCCAGTCTCCCTAACTTAGCACCTTCCCTTCTACACTGCACATTTTCTTCCCTGTTCCTTCCCATCACTAACTTTCCTGACACCCCTACAACTAAACACACAGGCTGACCTTATTCCTACCCCCACACCTTTCAGCAAGCTGTTTGCTTCCCTGGAAGAATGTCTCCTCTTGACTGTTGGAGTCACTCCAAATCCCATCACAAAACACCACATTTCTCCATAGCCATTCACTCTCTCTCCCTCCTAGAAACTCCCATGGCCCTTTGGTCTTCTCTACCATTCATTTCAAGCTTAAATACTGCCTTGTGATGCTGCACAGCTTCTGATGCACACAAATTATTAGTCCAACTAGATCAGCCTCCTAGCAAGCAGGAACTAAATCCTGGCTCCTTTGACGCCCCTTCACACCAAGCATGGGATCTGCCCCATCACTCAGCTCAGCCCCCAGCAAAGGCACAGGCTGGGGCCAACAACCCCCGCTGCCTTCCAGCTGCTGGGATATTCATATATGAAGCACACGATGTACATGGTGGTTTGTGCTTCATTACCATGGCACAGCTCAAATCAGTCCCAGGAAGGGAGCAGCCCACAGTGGACTCGGTCCTCCGCTCTGACACCCATACGGCACCGTGTGCTCACCTGTCACAGGGGCATGGCCAGGCTTGTGAGAGAGTTTGAGGAAGAGCCAGCTGCTCCTGCGTGTCAGAAGCCGAGGCAGAGGACGCTGCAGTAGCCTTTATCGTGGAAATCTGTTCAACACGCTCCTCGGATCCTCGCGGATCCCGAGAGCTCAGAGGAAAAAATTCCATTTACATAGTTCAATTTTTCCAATCCTTGAAGTAATACCTACTCTTGATTTTCAAAAAGAAAAATATAAAAAAGCATACAGAATAACACATCACCTTTATTTCACCATTATCTTTGTTGTATATTTCCTCGTAGTCATTGTTGTTATTGTCTATCTGCCTGGCACTGCACCGAACAATGGAAATGACAGATGTGACGACCCACCCCAGCCTGCCAGTCTCTCGCAGACAGTGAGGGAGACGCAAGAGAGCAATGAAGTGCCACACAGTGTGCGGCTGAGGCAAGTACAAAGGACAAGGCCACCAAACCTTCCACACAGAAGGAGAAGAAAGGACAAAGACAGAGAATTCTGAAAGGGCCTAGCATTTGCTCCCCTCCAGCAGTTACTGTGCCAGGATGGCGGGAACGGAGGAGACCCAGAGACAGGACGTGACTTGTTCAAGGTCACTCAACCAATTAGCTTTTTCCACAATGCTTGTTCTAAAGACCACATGTTTTGAAGCCACAAAATTCTAAAGAAGACTTCATGCAAATAAGCCCACGAATCATATATATATATATATATATATATATACACACACACACACACACACACATACACACACACACACACACACATCTCCTTTATCAGACTCTGTGTAGATACAAATTAAAATGCCTTTATTGGAAAACCTCAAACTACATGAATTGGGACTATCCTGGAAAATATACACATGGTTTGGTCACCACATGCTTTTGCTCAATCCAACAAGGATTTCCTAAAATAGCCTTGCATTCTAGTGGGATATAAACCCTGTTGCGGGTTTATATCCTCAATCTGGAATCAAAGAGTCGGAGTGGCTGGAAACAGATCTGGCTCACTTCACCCTCCAACTAAATTAGGATACAAAACCCAACAATATCATTAGGGAGACAGAACTTCATTTCCCCAAACACTCCTTTTAACCTAGAAAGTAAAAGGGCCTGAGCCATTAACAAGCAAAATTATTTCTTGCTGTTTTGCATTTTCTTCCTTGAAACTACCTTTATTTGAGCCATGGGGGCTCAAGGCAGGGGAGGAGAAAGAAGGTATGTTAAAAGACTGATATCCCTCAGAAGAGGGGGTGGGGGAAGGGAAGAGATAAACCACAGAACTTACACGCATGTACGCATAACCAATGGACATGGACAACAAAGCTGGGGACGGGGCAGGGGGGATGGGGAGGAGGGTGTCAATGGGGTAAAAAAGGAGAAACATCTGTAACAAAAATAAATTTTTTTAAAAAAAATCCTAAAATAAGTAGAATTAAGCAACCTATAGGTCTCTTCCTACACATTAAAAAGAATTGAGACTTATCAAAGAAAAAATATAAAATTCCCTTGGGTGGTTGGTTCTGAGAGTGAGTCAGCCAACCCCGCTGTGCTGTGTAACACTATCATGAAG